GTGACCTTCCTTTTGCGCTCAAAGATCGCCCTCATTATCATCCGTTGGACCATCTCCACACCGGCCTTTTGGATGCCTGTCACAGCGTTGCAAAATGATTTCTCTGCTAAGGGCTCCTGTCTGTCCTTCAAAGGCTCTGGCATGGCCTTGAGGACAGCTTTGAGCTCCTCATCAATATCCATCTTATCAATGGCCGTCTTGAGACTTGGTGAGGGCAGCATCTTGGGCATCTGCCTTCTCCCCTCTGGCCTTCCAGTCCTCCTCTCTCTTGGCCACGGCTTCCTCTTGCTTCTTCACCTTCCTCCTGCCCTTGAAGATTGCTTTCATCCTCCTCTGTTGGACTAGAGTAGCACTGGCCTTTTGAGTGCTTGTCACAGCATTATGAATTGACTTCTCTGTTGAGCCTGACTGTTTGTCTGTCACAGGCTCGGGCATGGCCTCAAGGAGAGCTTTGAACTTCTCATCTACATCCATCTTGTGGACAGCCTTGTTGATGCAATCAAGCTCACGTGGGATCTCTGCAAGGTTGTGCTCACTGAGTGGGGTGTGGTTGCCATTGCAGTTCTTGCACAGCATCATAGGTGGTTTAGCCTCTTGACCTGGAAGAAGCAATGCGCTAGCCAAACCTCTGCAATCCTTGGAACAACTTGAAGAGAACAATATGTTGGGCGTTCATGTAAGGCAGAGATCTGGTCAACTGCAGTTGAGCTGCTCAGGCTTGGTGGAGAAGTGTGTCTGTGCTTGTTTGGAGAGGAGAGAGAAAGGATGCACTGCTTTGTGCACACAAATTTTGCGCAATTGCTTGCCAATTTCTTGAGCACTTGCAGAGCTTCAAGGTCATGACTGCCAATTGAGCAATGATGCTCATATTATCTGCAAGTGGCTAGATGTTGCCAGGAAAGAAAACATTGAGCTACAGGGAATGCACAAGGAATGCTGCCTTAACAAGGTGGACAATCTTACAGCTGCACTTGCAGGCATTTTGCAAAAAAAGGACTCTAGAGAGGCAGCAGAGCAATCTGGATGCAAAGCAGGTTAACTCAGTCAGCAGTGCAAACCCTTCTGAGGCATTCAGCAACAGCTAGCTCAAGCCCAAGCCAAGCTGATGGCTGCAAGAAAAGACTGCTCCCTGCGCAGAACCAGCTTGTGCATTAGGGAGACTGCACAGCGTGCTTTCTCGAATCATTGAGCATGCTGCAAGCAGGATCTTGTGTTGCACAACAACAACCTTTCTGCCACTGCCAGCTCACACCAGAAATGTGCATCTGAACACCAGAAATGTGCATCTGAAGGGCAGCAAGCTCTGAGGT